CTAAATTAAAAATCTAATCCAGATTTATAATACATGATCTGTAGAGATGATTTGCAGACTATAATTCCATTAAGCAAAAGGAATCTTAATCTCAATTAATGGACAAACAATATATCATTCCTATAAATTGCATTTAGAAACTTAATATTATAGATAATGAGCTGGATTGAGAAGATTTATATATGCAATTGTAATTATAATGGTTCATTATAATTTAATAAATAAACAACTCCAGCCTGATTGAGAGTTTTAAAAAAAAAAAATTAAAGACAAAATAATAATAATTAAAAAAATTTTTTATTACAAATTGAAAAAAATATTTTATTTTTAAAATTTTTATATAAAATAAAATCAATAATCGTATTAGTTTTAAATAATTTAAAAATGAATACAGTACTATTATTTTTAATTATATTTAAATATTATTTATAAAAATATTTTCAACTATTTTTAATTATCAATAGAAATATTTTAAATTTTAAATTTCCAATTTAAGAAATAATGATTTATTAATTATATTAGACTTAGTTTATATTATAAATTTATGTGATTTATAAATTATATTTAATCATAAAATCAATATACAAATAACGAAAATTTTTCAATAATTAACTAAATATTAATATAAGCTAAAATATGCAATATTATATTATTTGCATTTAATTATTCACCCGAACTTTCTGGATTAAATTATTATTTCAATTCAATCTCTAAAAATTAATAATAAGTCGAACAGTTAAACAGTACAAAAAAAAAATAAAGTAAAACTTATTGAAGAAATTTATTTCGAAGTTGATATGAAGTCATTGCGGTATAATTCAGAATTCTAATGTTCAAATGTTGATTATTATATTGATTTAAAAGTCAATTGAATATACTATAATTAAATTTTTAGGTTTTAATTAATTAAGTAAATGAATGACCAAATATTTAAAGAAAGTTGCTATATTGAAAAATACAACCTCGATTATCATCAAATTAAGAAATAATAGAAAAAGCTGTAAATCTTAGAATTTTCCACCAGTCACCATTTTAGCCGCAATTGCTGCTAATATTGCAGCTTTATGATTACCAGAGAGTCTTGAATATGCTTCGTAAACGGATACTCCTAATAGAAGTTAATTAGAGAATTAGATGACATTCGAATCAAAACAATGAATAGACATACCTTTGGCGTCTCTGACGGCTCCCAGCTTATTTCCAGCGTAAGCTCCCAACATTAGACCAGGAACGTTACCAAAAATGAATCCCAATGCCCCTCCTGCAATCGCACCCACTGGAGCATAAAACCAGTGTGGATTTTCAACTTCAGGTCTTAACATCTCTTCAAACACATTACCAAATAATTGATTTGGATCTGTTTGACGTAATGTCCACGATGCAGCTTGCTGTTTTTTAGCTCTTACGGCGTCTAAATGAATAAATTATCTAAGAAATTTTATAATTCATTTTTCAATTTTTCTTTTTTTTAAAAAAAAATTACCATACTGAGACCTTCGCGTTGAATCACTGAGCACATAATATGCGTCTGCCACCTTTTGAAAATGGATCTTCGCTTCCTCTTGTGTAAGTGAGGGGTTTATTGCGGAGTCATGAGCACCTGGAGCATATCTGTCTGGGTGTGTTTCTAGTGCTTTCTTTTTGTAAGCCTCGCGGATCTCCCTATCAAAAAGAATTAGTAATGATGAACAAATTTGTAGGAATTCAAAGTCGGTTAAAAACGCGATTTCATTTACTCTTCGGTGGCATTTTCAGCAACTTCGAGGATTTCGTAATAGTTGGGGAATTCCATTTTGCCTAAAGTCGATCAAAATGTGTCAAATGTTCAATTTAAAGTAATACGTAATACAAGAATATCTTATATATATCTTATATATTAGACTTTTATTTACGGGAAAAATATCATAAAGCACAAACGCACAAACCTTATTCGAGTTTTCATGTCGAAATAATGTTTGCACAGGAAACATAGCATGACTTCATCTAAGATTGAAAAAAAATACTAAAATTAATTTAAAAAATGTATATAAAGTATGTTTATTTTAATAACAAGCCGCCTCTTATATTAACAAATTGAGACAAGAGCCTATTTGATTATAAAATTCTCCAGTGGGTTGTTGCTTTTTCCCTGAAGAACTAATATACAGAATCTTATATTCTAATATTTAGATATTTTTTTTTTTTTTTTTTTTTTTCTACTGTGAACAGAGCAAGAGATGCAAGACTTTTATTAATTATATATTAAAAATTATACAATTATGAGATCAAATAGATCAAGGTTACATCAAGTATCAATAATTAGACTATTGCTAAATTACAAATATTC